ATTTGGTTGTAAAGAAAAAGATCAAGATTGTCTAAAGGTTTTTTTAAAAGGTGATGATTCATTTTACGAAAATTACATTGAAGTAGATGGAAATATGGAACCTTAAAACGAGAAAAGTAGTCATTCAAATTCTTTGCAAAAATGTTTATAACGTACTTCGAAATTGCGTTTAAATATCTAATTATTGTTACGTAACTCCCTCTGTATACACAAATTAACTATACAGCATTAACTATTATTACAATCGATAGTGCACGTAGAAAATGAAATGGACCTTGAACAATTCAAGATGTACAAAAAGATGGTGTGTGAGTCGGTCGTACGCAAGAGTGAACTTCCTGGCTACAAGGGTTGGCCAGTGTATTCACGTCAATGTACAGGGAGAGATCTTAGGATCTTTTCTTCAAATCCTTGAGTTATATAAAAAGGTGTGATAAGAAACAACACCACAGTTTATTATAATAACAGAACCGCCGATAATAATCATCATTTCTGGTTAGTGAATTTTTCTTGTGAAGAATCATCATAAACACTCAGAAGAATAATTGTATATAGACTGTCAACATAGAGAGTGTATATCGAGAATTTAAAAAAATGAATTGTGTACAGTTGGGGTAAAATATTAGTAATTCAAATTGTTACACATTTGCATTTAATTTCTGTTTCCACGAAACGCTCACATTTTGTCATGGTGATTATCGAGACCTACTGAATTATAAAAGAATTTCAGTTTCAATATGATGTATTTTAAATTTATATACTGTGAGAATCAACCACTATCCTTGCCTTCAATGAGAATTCAACTTTTAATTTTGAAGTCTCACAGTATTGTATTGCGGCAAACTCAGCAAATGTCCCTCCGAGTAATTAAATATGGTCGTTACTCTTGAAGTTCGTCTCGCGATGCGATCTGCATGTACAACTCACGAGTTGAATGATGGCAGATGCAAACTCGTTGGGCGTAGCGCGAGAGGCACGCGTGACGCCGCCCCATCTTTCTATCGGGCGGGCCTCCCCGCCCTGCCACGCCACGCCACGCCTCACCCAAACCAACCCTGCCCCACCTCACACCTCTAAACCCCGCCCCACCCTGCTCCTCCCCGCCTCGCATCGCATCGTCCCTCCAAGCCTCTCTTCACCTCAGCCCGCCTTTCCCCGCTCCCCATCGCCTTGCTCGCCCTGTCCCTCCTCGTCCCGAATTTCCCCGTCCCTCCTCATCCCACCCCGTCTCGCATCGCGCTCCTCGCCTCGCCGACGAGGAATCGGTTTTCGTCGCCGCCGCCGTCGACGACGACCAAGGGAGCGGCGAGGTGTCATTGCCTGCACACACGCGCGCGCCTTTTGCTCGCCAGATACGTGACGTGAAGGAAATTGACAATTAGCGAGTGGGGGCGGCAGCAAGGCGGGAGAGTGACGACGCTCCATGAGGAGGACGGCGGCGGCGGCGGCGGCAACAACCTCCCGCTGTCAGAGCCCCGTCACACGTGTCTCTTCCTAGATTACGCGCGCGTTTTTCGGCCTCCTCCTTCCCTCCCGCCGGCTGAGCTGCTGCGTTCCGACCGCCGCCGCCACCTCCGCGAGCCGGAAGAACGCGGCGTGCCGCTTGGGTAGGCGATGTTCTGGAACAATCGTCGGCGCGGCTGCGGAGGCGGCTGCGGCTGTCGCTGGTGCGGATGGCGCTGCTGGCGCCGCCGCCGCCGCCGCCGCCAACGCCGCCGCCGCCAACGCCTCCGCTGAAGCCGCCGGTGCCACCTCCGCGCCCGACCGCGTAAATGAACCGGTTGTGGGGAATCCCTTTGCGCCGGGACAGCCGTATTCGGTGTCAAACATGTGTGCCTCCTTGGTTAGATTGGGAGGCTAAAAATGTATTCTGCGGTAATTGTAGGAAGCCATATCTTTAAGGCAAGAAATGCAGGAGGATTAAGTTTCTTGGAGTCTTGTTTACATTGGATGAAACAAGTCTGTCACGTCATTGTGCGCCATTACGCCACTATGTAATTTTGTATACAAATGAAGTACTGTAATACGAGTAAAATTGAAGTGTTTTAATTTCAGGAACCAATTTTAGATTACTTTTCATTTGATTTTATACAGGTTATATTGATCTCAACATTCACTCGTAATTGATACATTTAAAGTAAACAAGCTCTTTTTTTATCAAGTCATGCATTTATTTTGTATATTATTCCTGATTACAATTAACATTTTTGTAGAAGAATGCTAATGTTTGTACATCTAGACTAAAATATGACTCGGCTCATATTTACGGGTTGGTTTTTGTCACAAATATTTCAAAAGATTTGTACACGCTCATATATAATGCTCGATGTCCCTATCGACGTTTCGTGATAATGATTGTATTTCAAGTATTCACTTTAAAAATGCACTCCTTTCTTTTGAGACATAAGCACTTCAGGGCATGTTTGGTGAAGGCACTCGTGGGACATGAGCTTGGGCGACTTCGTCAGACAAAAGTCTTCGTGAACTTGCAGAGCTCAGTTCTTGAGCAACTGAGGAAGGGAGAAGGAAGGGATAGTGACCGACATTCTCTACTTGGCTAAGTACGCCTAAGTTACCAAGGGTAGTTAAGGAATTACAAGTTAGGTATTACTTCAGAAAACCGTATAATTTTCAAATCATTGCGAGAACCATCAATATTCGTGATATACGATTTACGATTATTTAAAATCAAATAAAAATTAATGGACTAATAAAATTAAAAATAAAGAAAACCATTTAAAGGTAAGCGAATTTTGAGGCCTACTTTGTTACTCCACACTATTGCACACGCAATTTGTATACATTCTGCGACTTAAATTTTTTTTTTAATTTCTTGAAGAGGTCAAATTCAATGATAATTGTTAGTTTCAAAGAATGTATTAACTATTTTATAATAGGAGGTTAATCATTGTTTTCCACCATGATGCAACTTATTTAGGTCTACAATAATACAAATGAATGAAAATGTGACATAATAACAAATAAAAATTAAAAGAAAGATGAAAGTTGTAAAACATTATTATTGTTATTATTAGTTTCGTCGTCGACAAACACAAGATTTTATACTATTATACTTTCTTACTTGCGTAACGGTCTGCTTAGAAAAAAACCGCTGGTTATTGGAACAGGATAATTCTCATCGAACAGCCCAACATGTCAGATATGATTTGGTAGTAAGAGACTTGAAGAGAGCAAATAGTTCTGAACGACATAGAAATAATTAAAAATAATACCCAAGAGAATTCTATTGAGAAAATAGCAAAAGTATGCACTTCATTGAACCTACCAAAACACGTTTATATGAGGTCTTTTGATAAGTTCCCCGTATGAGTACGTCCCTATTATCACATCTATAAGTGCAGAAACGCGGTGATGTTTAACTGTTTGAAAAAATTGGATATTAGCATCAATATATAGAGTCTATGCACAAGGCAACTATTCATATGCATGCTATACATGATTGCAACTATTCATATGCATGCGCACTGAGGTCATGGGTCCCCTGAAGATTTCGAAAGGAGCCCCCATAGTTTTACATAGAAGATTATTTATCTTTTAATGTGTTGATTTACTGATTTTCGATTGATAAACCTGCCAATTTGGGTAATCCCATAATTTCATTATTTTTGAATGTTGTATATATTTACTAGTAAAATTTCATATGTAAATCAACAATGTTAATGGAAAAAGAGAGCCCAGACATGTACTTGCCCCCCTCTTGTTATGGGCTGCGCACACCTAAGCAACTACGAGAATAGTGCCAAAATTCATAGGTGAAGAAGAGATATGAATTTGTAATCAGAAGGATTTTGATAAATGTATTTTGACTATATATGACCTATGTATTATTTTCAATAATATAAATATTTTAAAATAAGAGTAAAGTATTATTATACAAAGCACTTACGTAAAATTGGTTTTGAACTCAGATAATGCTCTAAAGTATTCTACTTATAAAATTTATTTTATAATGGTTATTCTCTTCGTAAATATATTCTCAGATAATCGGAAACGCGATTTGTTAAATTTTAATATTTTCAATTCAGAATGATGATATTTTGCGCGAAGTTCGTAATAGAGATATCCACAGTCTCTAGATCTGCTCCTAAGCAAGAGGGTTGTAATCTGCAGTAGAATTTATATATAACCCTGATCTAAAATCTTTACGCAAGATAATAATATAAAGTGAATAAAGCCGATCCGGAGAGCGGAGATCCCAGAGTCAGTAATACCCTGGTGGTCTCGATCCGAAGGATCACGGGTTCGACTCACGCCTGGGGAATGGTTGTGCTTGTGTGGGTTTCTGTATATTTGTGCTTGTCCATTTCATCCTTCATTATCGTGTCACCTCATCCTCCACGGATAACATCCCTGTCTGTAAAAGCGGATTCAGCATGAAAATGCTTATCTCCCTCATAACAAGCTACTTACACCTACCGTTAATAAATATGACTTGGTCACGTTGGGTTGCACGTTCGCGTGGTCCCAAGATGGCTAATTCGCAAAAAAAGTGAATAAATTCCACACCTATCATAATGAAGAGTACCCACTTAAAATGGAATCATTTTATTTATTTATCAAGCAACAGCCAATTTCTTGATGTTGAGACCATATTATTAAATTTAGTCATATCGAATAGGTTTTGGTAATAGAGCAAAGTGTCGTAATTATTTTAATAGATTTCAATAACAGGCGTCTTATTGGATAATTAATTATTTACAATATGTCGCTCTCTAAAATATTATCTACAGTATTCGTATATAGAAAAAAGATGTTTTAATACCTAGCGTAATGTAAGTTTCGTAGAAGAATAGAAAACAGTGAAAGGAAGTTCAGAAGTATTTTATCCCATGACTTATTTACCAAATACTTTGAATTTATTAGTATTACAACAATTTATACATTAGTACTGAAATATTGCACTTTTAAAAAATGCTATGATCACAATACTACGTGAATGGATAAGTAATTGTCATTTACGACATTTCAAGTATTCTTACCAGATCGCTGGTGACGTTGGGGAATATTTAGAGAAGAAAATCTTGAAATAATTATTCGAAGAACCTCCGTACATCCTTCATTTTGAAAGGAATCAGTGAGCAAGATGCATCCTCGTACCTATAAAAGAAAACCGAATCATTATAACTCCGTAATAGTTAACATGAGTAGCAATAATTATGGGCGAAATACATCAAATTGTATGTGCATGTTAACACATGTATTTAATTTTGAGATCTTATGGCACTGCACATTGTTATATATTAATAGATTGCATCAGATCTACAAACAAACTTGTTTCTCGAAACATCCCTTCTGGTAAGAAAAATAGGGTGTCTTATCGTTACAGATAGGAAAAGACCAGTGCCAGTGCTACTAGTACCAGTGCGCTCTTATGCAGACATCAATTTGAAGATCTTCCATTTCTTTATATTTACTCTTGATTAAAATGCATTATATGATGAGCATAAATGTATCCCAAAAGAATGACATCACTGGCAAGACGATAAAAGCACTTATTGAACTATGTTTTAGACTTGGTTATTGCACTAAAACTGCTACTTTAGACGTTCTTTTTAATTTAGTTCTTTGATTCCTGAGTAAATATCACAATATACATCTCTTAGTTCGTAGGAAAATCATGATTTAGTGTAAGTTTAGTGGCTAGTAGGAGCAATAATGCTTCTGAACAAAACTGCACAAATTAGTTTGTCTGAAAAGTAGAAAACTAAAGAACAAACAATAAAATTCTCTCGTATAACGCTGCAGCAAATTAAATATTTTAACAAAAGCTGTTTTGACTATTAATGCAATAACATAGAGTATAGTATATATACAAATCACCAATTCTAAACACACCAGGAATATTTTTAAAAAAATGCTGTTCCATTACGCAACTAGCGAATAGAAAATATTTAATGGCGGGCGGCCTACTTGAAGCCTTGCGACCGCATGACATGAGCTGGTTCAAAAGCAGTGACGCACTGATATTGAGAATTCAAGCGGTGCGCAGAGGGAGTGAATAAGCGGAGGAACACAATCAAATATGTTCAGTTTGAGACGGGATCGAAAGCGTTTCATCGTTTTTGTTATTTCCAATGTTATATGCTATCTAACAAAATCATTAAGATCTGTCACATGGTCTGAAACAACATGGTTTTCTTTCAATTTCTCCGCGCATTGGAAATTGATAATTCTGTTGTCGAGTGTTAGGAAAATGGAAGAGATAGATAGATAAATAATAGATAGATGATAGGTAGATAAATAATAGATAGGTGATAGGTAGATAAATAATAGATAGGTGATAGGTAGATAAATATTAGATAGGTGATAGGTAGATAAATAATAAATAGGTGATAAGTAGATAGATATATAATAGGTAGATAATGGATAGATAATGAATACACAATGGATAGATAGGTAGATAGATAATAGATATATAGATGAATTACTTCTGTATATTTTCAGAATTTCTGGCTAACGAAACCATCTCACATAACCGGGAGTCACATAGTTTTCTTTCTCTTTCTCTCCTCATTAGAAATGACAAATATAGATGATTTTGTTTTTTTTATCACAGTTCTTGAGTAGTTGTCAAAAACACCTCTCAAAAGACTAGAGTCTGCAAAGGTCTATTTAAATTTCTTTCTATTAATTGGAAATGACTGCTATGGATTTAATGGCGAGCTGCTTCTTCTTTGAGACATTGCTGTTACATGACGTCAGGTGTGTTGTAAGCAACATTTTTCAGTCGAAACCCAAATCTTTTCGTTGATTTTTGGCATTTTTTCCTATTTCTTAGGTATCTAAAAAACAACAGGAAAATCTCATGTAGTCGGAAGTTGTATAGTTTCCATTCAATTTTGCGCGCATTGGAAATTAATAACATAAATGTTTTTGAATTTGTTCGACGTTTCTTGGTTACTAAAATAACAAAGTCACGTGGATAGCATGCGTCATAGATTTCTTTCAATTTGGACGCGCATTTAAACTTGATGAATATTTGGTATTTGTATTATATATGGTATATTAAAGCACATAATTTCCTGAATAAAAGAAAACTATTAAATAAGAAGTAAAATGAAAATTTTGAGATTATTTAGTCCTGTACAATTTAATATGTGACAATGCCAAAATGTTAAACTTATTACTAATAACGTTATACTACATTCAGTCAAGATAATGCATTAAAAAGTGAATTACAATCCTTGCGGTTCCCAAATGATGAAAAAAAAAATCATCGAATTTGTGTCGGAAAGAGCGTGAACCTAGTGAGTGGCGCGGCGCGGCGCGGCGCGGTGCGGTGCGGGGTGCGTGGGCAGGGTGCAACAGAGCCCAAGAGTTGCTGGGCCCGGCGATGGTGTTGCGTGCCGCTCGCAGGCGCTGGCCGCAGCCCCGGCCTCAGCCTCGGCCCCGCTGCGCTGCGCTGCGCTGCGCTGCACCCAGCGCCGCCCCGGCAAATGGCTGCCGCTGCCGCTTACGGCCCCACCACCGTCACCCGATGGGGAACGCGGGTGCGGAAGGCCCCATTGGAAATGTATAGTTTTGAACAATTTTGAATATATTATAAAGAAGATGCTTCTTAATATATTTGTGGAGTTGTTTCGTTACGATCGGCTGTTTTTAAATAGTAAGTAAAAGAAAATGCATTGAATAGATTTTTTTGGAGAACTAGATTATTTTAACTATATTTTATTACGGTACTACCATATGATATTCCTGTTACACATATTTTTCGTTATTTTCGGAGAGTTAATGTGTAAATAATGGTAAAATTAAGTGCTGTCTGAATAAGAGAAATACAAATATTATCAAAATTCACCCTAATATTTTTTCTTAATAATCACATTAGATAGAATACGATTTGACGCCTCTTGATATATTGTTTACGTAAAAAATCAATTGACAATAGTTTTTTATATTTCTGTGTTAATCAAACGTGCATAGATTGCTGAAGTCAGAGGAAACTATTGCAGTTACATGGGCGCGCAGTTTGCGATCTATCAATAGTTAATTCGGAAGAGAGTTAACGTTAGTTACTATATGAATGATGGGAAAGTGTTCCTGTTTACAAGACGTTCAATTTTTGGCATTCAACTGTTAAAAGCTTGATTTATATTAGCTCGTAAAGAACCAACTAAAATATAAACTCTTTATTCCTTTCTCTGCTTTTGAAATTTATTCCAAGTATAACAACTTCTTTTGCTCTTGCATTGCAACATTGATAGCTGACCTTACAAAATGTTTCATGAGTTTCTTTATAATGCGAAATCTAAAAGCGTGTATGTAGTTAGTTAAACAGAATATTTACATTTAATTTAGAATTACTGCATTAAAAACCATCACTGGCTAATCATAATTTTAATTTTAAAATATAACTATGAATTTTGTTTACGATGTATGCCTTGTGACAATTCTTCACCCGTTACCCTTAAGAGTTAATGTCTATTCAGTGTTCCCAACAACTTTAAATATAATTTCTACACTCGTTGAAATATCTTCACTTTATTTGCGTTACAATTCGTGCAAAACGCACCTACTAAGTATTTCGATAAACTATGATACACCATTACGTGTAAGTAGTTTATAATTAACATAGTCGACTTTCGTAGTACACAAACTATTATTAAATCTTGAAATAAAAATATTTTAGCACAAGAACAATTATTATATTTATGTTCATAATATTTCATTCCTTCAGTATTTGGATATTCAAACACTTCATAGTTATTTTTTTTACAAACAAACTGAGTGTTAAGTCGTTAAGTTAATATCTATCGATAGTCGAATGATAATGCGTTTGATAATACATTTTACTCAGAAGCACCTGCACATGAGCGTGTAGAACAGAACAATAAATGATCCGAATAATATGTATCAGATATAAATTGTGAATCACGAATACCACTACAACACCTTTAACATTCTAAAGCATGAAAGACCGCATGAAAGAAAAGAAATACCCGAACCTTCCTTTGTATATCAAGGTTCAATAAGGAAGTTAAACGAAATATTTCAACAAAGATATGATGGAACTAAAAATGTTGGGTATTGAATAATATTGGATATTACTGCTAAAACAACACGAGCTACTTTTCTATCTGATCATTTAATCATCAGCTCCGCCTTGTTTTTGTGTCATTAAATTTCAATCAATAAATATAATAGAGAAACAAGAATTGTGTCTTTTGCGTTTACATGTACGTTTACGTGTAAGTTGAACATAGATCATGATCTTGAAACTCACATTTCTCATTGTTTTTCTATTCATCTCGTTCCTGATTAGAAAAGATTTTTCTGGGAATATTAAAATAACCCACAAACATTGGGAAAATTAATGTCTGCGTTGCACATTTCGTACTGATATTCAAAATGATATTCATGTGTGTTGACGGTACAAAATAAAAAAACAATCGACAGCAAATTTTGACAATGTTCTTGCTAATATTTTGACAGTCAAGCACGGAAGTACGTCACGTGCAGTGAATGAATGTGATTCGTTGCTTATAAGTCTGATTTTAAAGCTTCTTTTAAAGGATTTATCCAATTGTCTTTGAAATCGTAACGCCTCCTCAATTTTCCCCGTCGCAGCGGCTCTCTGAAGGAACTCGTCCTCGAAAGAACGCTAAATGGGCGCGTGGCGCGTGTTGTCGCCTGCCACCTGTGCCTCCGCGGGCTTCTCCGTCTCGAGGCGGGCGGAGGCGGGCGAGACGAGCTGCGGCACGCGCCGCGCAGCGCCGCGGAGGAAACGGCGATTGTGGCGGGCCCGGGAGCGGAAGCACCGGGAGGACCGGAGAGCCCGGCGGGCCACGACGCCCGGGGAGGGCGGTTTGGGGCCGGGTCGGGCCCGGGCCGGCTGCGTCGGGGAGGCCGGCCGCCGTCCCCGCTCCGACCCGCTCCGGGACGGTCGGCTCTCTAGGCCCCCGTCGGCGCTGCGAGCGTAGCGTCGCGCGTGGCGCCGGTTTCCGGCGCGTCCGCTCCGGTACGCGCGCCCGCCCCCGCCCCGGCCACGACCCACCAAAACCCGCCAAACCGGCCCCACACGCCGCCGCGCCCGCCACACCCGACTCCCCTGCAGGCTCCGTCTGCTCGCAGTGCAGTCAAAAACAGGCGCAAGCATA